TGGTGTCTGTTTGGCGGTCCAGCGCTGGTATAATCCGCTACAGCATAGACCAGCTAATGACAGCAGATGGTCAACTGATGACATCTGGTCAGCTAATGACAGCAGATGTCAACTGCAACCAAGAGATGAGGATGCTGTGATTAAGCAGCTGAGGCCGATCACTAAAGAAAGGCCTCTTCTTTCATAAGACAACACGTCACACAAAACAACACTGCTCAGATTATAGAAGATAACTGGGAAACTCTCTGTCATCCACCATATTCACCAGACCTTGCACCAACAGATACCAGGCTTTGGACCTCTCCTTGCAAAGAAAAATACTCAATTCTCAACAATCTGTGGGAAATACCTTTCATGATTTCACTGCCACTTGGTCTCCAGGCATAAACCAGCTACCATTAAGACAGCAAAACTGTGACAATAATTAAATGCATACTTTGATCAATTGCACTGCTTCTTTTTTGAGATGTAGCAAACTAAAGTTTTGAGTTGAAATTGGACATTTCATAGTTAATGCTCTAATGTTTCAACCCAGTAAATATGCTAAACGCGAGAAGATAGGGATGTAAATAAAAATGTTTCTAGGAAAATAGAGAAGTTTTTCTTATACTGTACATGTAGATGTGTCTGGGAGCTGAAGCCTTGACACTTAGTGAGAAAAAAGGACAAGGCAGAGAGAGAGGAGTCCCCAGCTCTGGTAAACAGAAGATGGTCCTGTGAAGTGACAGAGGGAGGACTCTCTCATTCTAGCAAGGAGGACACCAGCATATTCACAGAGGGGTCCACCTTCATGGGCTTCTCTCAGGACCCACATCTAATACTGGGGATCAAATTCCAACTTGAGACTGGAGCGGCCAAGTCTCCAAACTCTGCTTAAAAGACTAAATAGTGCGTGTTCCCAGGGACAGTGTGAGCTGATACTGCATGTTCCCAGAGACAGTGTGAGCTGAGCCCTGGGTGCATATGGTCACACAGCGTGACCTACAGACACTAGACACTAGGAACAGGGAGGTCGGGAGGGGGAGGGGGAGGGAAACATCACCTGCTGAGTACAGTGAACACGATTCAGGTGACAGGTCAATTACAATCCTAGACTTCTGCACTGTGTGATTCAACTGCATAACAGAAAACCACTTTTACCTTCTAAATCTACTCATATAAAAAATGAAAAATAAACAAACCACCCCTCCAGCCTTTAATGATCTTTCTGATTCTCCATAAGATAATTCTGCTTTTTGCTTACTTCAGCCAGAGTCGAATTCTGTTGCTTGTAAAGCAGAAACTCTGAGGCTGACGGCCACACTCCATTAGGCTCAGAGTGATGACTGCACATTGTCGTAGCTTAGCGCTTTAGAGGGCAGGAATATTTCTATTCATCAGAATCCATCTTAATGAGAGCATTGTATATACAAGGAAGAAATATGTTGTTCAGTCATTTGAACAAAGGATGAGATATTTACTAAATAATTAATTATAAGACAATAGAAAATATTGTTTGCGTCTCACAAAATATGAGACGGGGCAAGAGAACTCAGTTAATCAGAAGTCGCAGGGCTATGAGCTGTACAATATGATGTTTCATATTAAAAGCAACACAGAGAAAAAGAGGAATTAAAATATTGATATTGTCAAAGTTGGAAAGATGGGGAAAGAAGACGTATCTGTCCCAGCAACAATAGAATATATGATGGATCAAAATGATTGTTCAGAGGTTGAGTAATGAGTAACTGATTGATACCTACACAAGTAAACTAAAGCAGCCAACAAACCTTCAGATGTTTGTTTATAGACTACTTTTTAAGACTTTATCATGGTCCCCTATTTTTCAGCTACCACAAAAATAACCAAGGCACAGCAGGATGAATTCTTTTCTTTTCGGAGGCCGTGTTATGTAAATTATGTTGGTCGAGGCCACATCTTTTTGGTTACAATCTACTTATTCGTAATTTCTCATTTTGAGATCTATGGCACAGGCATATGAAACATTTGAGTAGAACTGGATGTGGACACTGTGGTTTCCATGGGTCAGAGGAGGATATGTCATTATTTCCACAGAATATTTCTTTCTAGTACTGGTAAGTACTATTTCAATTGCAAGT